GGCAAAACTGACCAATCGCTTTGGTGGGCTACAATTACCCTATCGCAGAGTCCCACCCAATCACTTGAGTCGGAGTTATAAGACCCTGGCTAGAAAGGCCACACAAAAGAGATCATTCTACCACAGTGTGTGTCCCTGTTATTGAGATATATACATGTAATTTACGTACTATACCAATCACCTGTTTGGAGTATGTACAGTTCAGTGTTTTTTAGTATTTCACAGTTATGCAAACATTAGCACAATTTTCAATATCTGTAATAAACAACTAATCACCAGTTGTAGTAACCTTTTCTTAACTGCTTATCCTTTAACTTTTCTGTAACATTTGTCCCTGTTGACTTCCACTTCTGGCTTAAAGCTGGCATCTCTGGGTTTCTCATGCGATTAAGGATGCGGATTTCCCCACCTCTTTGACCATTCCCACCCTCTTTCTCCTTTGGTGATTCTTCTTCCATCAGGTAGTTGTTCATCCGAGTTCTGTCCACACACCTCTTCTTTTCTCACTCTCCATCCCTCCATCCATCACCCCGACTTTAGTTGTCGTCTCTCTATTGTTAGGTGCTGTCGAGTCATTTCCAACCCACAGCGACCCTGTATACAACAGAACAAAACACCACCTGGTCCTGCGTCATCCTCACAATCGTTATCTTTGAGCCCATTGTTGCAACCACTGTGTCAATCCATCTCGTCGCGGGTCTTCCTCTTCTTCACTGACCCTCTACTTTACCAAGCATGATGTCCTTCTCCAGGGACTGGTCCTTCTGGATATCATGTCCGAAGTGAGCGAGATGAAGTCTCACCATCTTCACTTCTAAGGGGTATTCTAGCTGTACTTTTTCCAAGGCATGTTTGTTTGTTCGTTTGGCAGTCCATGATGTATTCGGTATTCTCCCAAATACGTAAGTTCTTTCCATCTTTCAAGACAAGTGTCTTAAAAATTCTTCCACCCTAGTGTGTATAGAACCAAATTCTTCCTGCCTCCCACCCATTGAAACAAGCTTTTTCCTGGCTTCCCCATTTTTCATTTTGATATCACTCTTCTCTGTCATTCAAACTGGAAATCATCGTTGCCATTCTTCGCCCCACCGCCAGTTGTGATGTCCTGTTTTCCCCCACTACCATCGTCCGGGGCAGGCCCCGAGTAGGCATTACTTTAAGGGTTGCTGCGGTCTCCTCACTGATCTTCCTTCTGCACACTTCTCTCTCTCCTTCTGCTCTCTGTTACACAGCGCTGTCCAGACAGCCCCACTTCATCACCCTCTCTCCCCTTCCCATGCTTTAGGATTCTTCATGGCACTTACATATTTGTTTCTCTTCGTCTCCCCACTAGGAAGTAAGCTTTTGGAGGGCAGGGGGTGGCTGTATCATTGAGACCTGGCTTATCGTATATGCTTGGTAAATATTTGAATGAATAAGTACATGGAGAACAGGTAGGGTAACATATCTTAAAGGAGAGATTCCTAACTAGTGTACCGTGAGTAAATCACAGATGTGCTGAGCTGTGATTCCCTCAGCCAACTGGCCACTTTTCTTCTACTCTGCAAGAACGTATATGAATGTTTATTGCTATGATTAATAATCAAAAACCAGAAACATTTCAAATGCCCATCTACTGGAGAATGGATAAATAAAACGAAAAACCAAACCTGTTGCGTCGTCATTTCTGACTCAGAATAGATAATTTGTGGTATATTCATAGAATAGAATATCATACAGCAGAGTTTCTAAACTTCAGCACTATTGACATTTGGGGCTGGATGATCCTTTGTTGTCGGGGCCTGTCTTATACATTAAGGAGCCCTGATGGTGCAGTGGTTAACCACTCGGCTGCTAACCGAAAGGTTGGCGGTTTGAACCCACCAGTCACTCCACAGGAGAAAGATGTGGCAGTCTGCTTCTGTAATGGTTACAGCCTTGGAAACCCTGTGGGGCAGTTCTCTGTCTTGTAGGGTTGCTGTAAGTCAGAATCAACTCCATGGCAACGGATTTTGGTTTTATGGGTCCTATACATTGTAGGGTGTTCAGCAACATTTCTGGCCTCTACCCACCTCACACCAGTAGCATTCCCCCAGTTACGACAATAAAACATGTCTCCATGCATTGCCACATGTCCTCTGGGTCACAACATCCTGGTGAAAACTATAATATGATAAGAATGAACAAATACTGCTTCTTGCAACACAAGGATGAACCCTGCAGACAATATAACAAAAGAAAGCAGACGTGAAAGAGTTGGTACTGTATCATTTCACAAACCTTCTAAGACAGGCAAAACGAATTGATGACAGTAGAGGCCAGGAGAGTGGTTTTCTCTGGGGGCTAGTTGTCAGGAGAGGCATGAGGAGAGCTTTCGGGCAGTGGGTAGTCCTCAGTGTTTCAGTGTGAATGGTATTACGCAGAACAAGGACAAGTTCGGTAGCACAACAGTGAAGCTATTAGTCAGATCCAGAATGCAGACAGTCTACAAGACAGCAGAGTCGCTACCCGGTCTCTTCACACAAGTCAATGTCATGAAAAAACCAAAATGATCGATCAACTGAACACTTAAAATGTATGCAGTTTTCTGGGTGTACATTGTAATTCAATGTAGAAAATGAATTTTAAAAACCACCACCCACACATAAGCAAGTAATCATTCTTTGACTAGGGGATTCTACCTAGACGAGATAAGGACATAAAGGGTCCTGCTAGTCTCCTAAACAGTCTCATCCGATTCCACCCTCACCCCCCGCCACCAACTTTTTATTACATGAAAGACTCGTACAGTGACTACTTGTTCACCCTGTGGCCTAGACTGGACACCTGTAACATGTTGCCACATTTGCTCTATGATTGTGTTTTGGCTAAAGCATTTGAAAGTTGCAAGCATTGTTGATACCACATATGTTGCTACCAAAAACCAAAAACCAAAAACCAGACCCCTGCCATCAAGTGGTTTCTGACCCATAGTGACCCTATAGGACAGAGCAGAACTGCCTGTTAGGGTTTCCAAGGCTGTAAATCTTTACAGAAGCAGACTGCCACATCTTTCTCCCATGGAGGAGCTGGTGGGTTCAAACTGCTGACCTTTTGGTTAGCAACCAACCAAGCACTTCAACCACTGTGCCACCAGGGCCCCTAAACATCATAATATTTCACCCTAAATACTTCAGCCTGCAGCTCCTAAGAATAAATTTATTCTGCTATGTAGTCACAATATTAGTATTACCCGAAGAAAATTAACAGTAATTCCTTAATAGTCTCTAATATACAGGCCACATTAGAATTTCCCTAATTATTAAAAAAATTTCTTTTATAGCTTTTTTTAAGAACAGGATCCAGTCAAGGTTCACACATTGCGTTCAGTTGTTATGCCTCTTTAGTCTTATTAAATCTAGGACAGTTCCTCCGATCTGTTTGGTTTTCTTCATGACATTGACTTTTGTGAAGAGAACAGTACTGACTCTACAGTCTTGTAGAGTGTCCGCATTGTGGATTTGACCAGTGGTTTCCTTGTTGTGCCATTGAACTTGTTCTTCTACCCCCAGTATTTACTATAAACCAAGAGTTAAATCTAAAAGGTTTTGGGGGGCGGGGGCACCACCCAGGTAGGTAATATTTATTTCCTGTTGCATCACATCAGGAAAGATCTGGTGGCAGGTTTTGGGGGGCAGGGGCACCATAGAGGTGGGTAATATATATTTCCTGTCGCATCACATCAGGAGACACCTGATGGCAAGCTTCACCCTGTTAGTGATGCTGGTTTGATCATTTTGTCAAGGTAAAAGTACTTTGTTCATAACAGTTATCACTAGTGCTAGCAAAGTGGATTTATTTATCTCTTTTTTAATATTACTATGGACTCATGGGTTGTTTATTCACTGTTTTACAGTCAATCATAGTCATTTTTTTCTTTAATATTCAAATTGCCCTGCGTTTGCCCAGTGGGAAGCTGTCATGTTGGCTCCTGTGTCCTTTTGATAAGGTTCCATTTAGTCTGAGCACATCCCAGGCAGGCCGCTGCCCCAAACTGGAATCAAATATTTTTTTCAGGGAGCTCTCATTCCCTTTAGAAGGTAGTGGTAATTGAGAAACTAAGATTTGGGTGCTAGATATGTTCCTTATTATGGAAGTGTCATTGCTTCTAGGTGCAGCAATGTATGAGATTGTCTGCTTCTCCCTGGCCTTGCCAGCTGAAAGCATATTGTCAGCTTTTGGATTTTTGTGGCACAGTGGTTAAAGTGCTCGGTTGCCAACCAAAAGGTGGGCAGTTCGAACCCCCGGCGGCTCCACGGGAGAAAGCTGTGGCAGTCTGCTTCCGTATAGGTTTACAGCCCTGGAAACCCTGGGGGGCAGTTCTGCTCTGTCCTGTAGGGTTGCTGAGTCGGAATCCACTCTACGGCAGTGGGTTTGGTTTTGGTTTGGAAGATGGCACCAGGGTTTTACTGAAGAACGGAATGTACCCTAACATGAGGGAACTGCAAGTCGAGTGAAGAAAGGCGGAAAGGAAAGTGAGAGTACTTGGTTTCTTTGAAATTTTTTGTCTAGGATTAACTCTTTAGACTCAAGAAAGGGGGAGGAAATGCTCTTCCTTTTAAACTACTGTGAAATTTGGGATTTATTAATGGTGTGGATCATAGTACTAACTAGCTTTGGAGATTAGCCTAGGGTTATGGCTCAACTGATGGTGTTGTTTCTGTGGGAAATTTTGATCCAAAATCAGCTGTAAGCTGGAGATTGCTTCTAATGTGGGACATCCCTTTACAACTTATTTTCTTTTCCTCTTTCTCTTAGAATTCTAACATTTTCAGAGAACCTTTTGGAAATAACGCGTCTACCTCAATAAATGAAGGAGAATAAAGAAAATTCAAGCCCTTCGGTAACTTCAGCAAACCTGGACCACACAAAACCATGCTGGTACTGGGATAAGAAAGACTTGGCCCATACACCCTCGCAGCTGGAAGGACTCGACCCAGCCACTGAGGCCCGGTACCGCCGGGAAGGGGCTCGGTTCATCTTTGATGTGGGCACACGTCTGGGGCTGTATCCTGATTCTCCTTGGAGTCTGTGTTAGGTACAGGACTCCTCCCGCCTCCAAATTCAGTTAGATACTTCAGACAAAATGCACAGTAATTTCTCTACTAAAACGACTCTTACAAAATGTTACTTCTGATTTGCTCGGCTCCTCAGGGGTTTGTCCATTCTCTCTTTATCATTTGACTGTGTAGACTTAGCTGTTGAGCACAGGCCACCCAAGAGGAAAGCCAATGCCCATTAAGATCCCAGTGGACGTACTTTTAAGAGATGGTGAAGCTGTGCCTTGTTAAAAGCATAAAACTTCCACTGGCTAATCTTGGTACCGGAATTCCTGACTCCCTGAAATTCCCATCTGCCGGCGCTTGGCCCCGATCTTTACTTACCTTACCTTGGTCTTGGTGTTGTTGTTGTTTGTCTTTGTGATTTTCCAACATTTAACTCAGAACATAACCTGTAAGAATTCTTGGCTGAAGTCCTTAACCAGAACAACAGACACTATGATACCCTGGCAACTGGAATAATTTATTTTCATCGCTTCTATATGTTTCATTCCTTCAAGCAATTCCCAAGATATGTAAGTGTTTCAATTTTATAATTATCTATCACATTTCTTACGTCCACACGGTATTTTCTTGATTGATAAGCTATACCGTCTTCAAATTTTGGTGGACGGATTGTAGTCTCTCTTTAGATCATATTTTCCAGAAAGGACTTTTTTAATGATACGTAGTGTATATAAACAAAATCAAGCTTAAACTTTGTTTTTTCCAGTTAACCATGTTCAAATCTTTTTTTTTTTTTAATTGAGGCTAATATGGATCATAATCCATATTGTACATTGGGTAAAAGTTTACTTCTTTGTTACCTTTCCCAGTATAAATTTGAGCTCATGATTGAGACCCAGTAAAGGTGAAAAAGCAGTTTGGTTAGAAATTCTCTATGTCAGACACTCACTCTGCAGTAACTCCTTGAATGTGCACTCGAAAGCAGCTGCTCTCTTGCCCTTTGTTGGGTCTTTGTTTGCTCTGTGGGAGACTGAGACAGGGACCCTTGCCTCAAGGTGCTTTCAGTCCATAGTAGGCCGTATACTGTGTATAAAACACATGGTCAGTTGGTCAGTCGAAGGAGAGGCCCTAAGAGAAGTACAGATGAAGGGTGTGACATTCAAGGGAGAGATTAGTTACATCTCAGAGGGATCCGGGACAATGCTAGAATGGAGGTGCCAGCCTCGAATATAGTAGGGCCTAGACACGCTGAGATGGGACAGAGCACCAGGCCAGCCAAAGACATGGTGCAGGAAGCACGTGCGGTGTCAGCAGCCTAGCCAGGAAGCCCGTTTATCAGGAGCCCATTCAGCAGGGAGGGGAAGGTAGAACTTGGGGGGGCAGGGCAGCCAGCTCAGACATAGTGGGGAAGTTGGACTGCAGTAGGTAAACAGTGAAGTGATTGAAGGATATCGTGAAGAAGATGACCGAATTAGACTTAATAGAAAAATCATTCTGTTTTTTTCCTTTTCCTAAGATTTTGCTTAGTCTTGTCTGTGTGCCTTCCTCACTAGCTTGTGAGGTCCTTGAGGAGGGACACTGTACCAGAACCAGCTTTGTATCCGTGGCAGTGTCTGGAGGGACTGGGGTGGCAGAGGAAGCTGCAGACGGAGCAGTGAGGGCCCTCGGGGTGTGCAGGGACTGCACTGGGGTATTGGCAACTGGGGGGAGAGGGAAGAAAGTGCGGACAGTGTCCCAGCAGCCCATCCCACAGGGCATGTGCTTTAGCGGCAAAGCTCACTGTTTGGGGAGCCGTTATCTTTAACGCTAGAATATAAAAGTTTTCTTTCCTGACTTTTTTACTTTTCGGCATTTACCTTGTGTACGTGACATTTTCTTAAGAAAATTAAATTGAAAATAATTTATGATGCCAGATTTTTGGGGGATGTATGCATGTGTAAACTTTCCTTCAGACTTTCGGAGCATTCCTGGTCAACCCCTCAGAGTGTTGGAATGAGGAAGAGGAGGGCAGGCGAATGAGAGGACCGGCTTCTTGGGAAGGCCAGAAGCCCCTGCTCTGTGTCTGTGTGATCTTTGGTGCCAGTATGTCAGGGCTTTTGTCTCTCTTTTAGGTGACAGGAGCTTGTTGTCTCTTTCTGGCTGGGAAAGTGGAAGAAACGCCCAAAAAATGTAAAGATATCATCAAAACAGCTCGAAGTTTGTTAAATGATGTACAGTTTGGCCAGTTTGGAGATGACCCAAAGGTAAGAATCATCCCTTCTGCCCTCTAACCTTGATTCCGCATGGTGGCATTAGTATGCACTGTTTTGTGTTGACCGTGGCTGTGGCCCCTGTATCTGCCAGCCCCTGTGTCCTGGGCGGGCCTTCTCTAGAAGGTGTCTTCCTTGCTTCTGTAGGAGAGGTCTGCACTTACGTAGCGCTCACTAATGTGCCAAGCAGCGTTCTGAGCGCTTTATGGTTATTGGCACATTTCGTGGAGATGAGCAGACATCCTCATTGCTGCTAACACTCTTAGACCCAGAAGCAATTTGGCTTCTTAGGTCCGGCGGTGGTGACAGGGTCACACCCCCATCTAGCTTCTGAGTCACACAGAAAGTGTGTCCACATCTACTCTGTCTTTTGCTTTTCAAGAAGGTCCTACATTTGCAGCTCTTTTCAGGCACCCAGAGGTTGGTACTGGTCGTACCAGCCATCCTGTCCCTTCCATCCACCCCTGCCAGTGTCTTAAACAGTGCTGACATAATTGTACTCACGCTTTTACTATGTTCTCAAAATACCAGGGGCCAGTAGCAGCTTCCCTTTCAGCCCGTCTAGATTCCCCCTCTTACACCCCCTTGTGTTGTTATTGTTGTTTTTTGTTAGGTGCTGTTGAGTTGATTCCAACTCATGGCGACCCCGTGGGACAGAGTAGAACTGCCCCATAGGGTTTACTTGGCTATAACCTTTACAGAAGCAGATCACCAGGTCTTTCTCCCTCAGTGACTGGCTGGGTTCAAACCACAGACCGTTTGGTCAGCAGCCAGGTGCTTACCATTGTGCCACCAGGGCTCCTTGTACCCTCATAGCACATTTTAATTACTCTTTATAGCATTTATCACAGCTCATAATTAGATAGATTTTAATCAAATAATCACATAAATAATTATCCCCCCTTCTCAGCTGTAAGATTCTTGAGAGCAGAGACCACGTCTGTTTTCCTAGCACCCAGTACTGTGGCTGGGCAGAGTAGGCAGTCAGTCATTTATGGAGTAAATGACAAATGAACGTTGTGGGGGAAACTCAGAATCACAGTTACAGCAATGCTTACTAAGGCAGTGAAGTTCAGCGCCATTTAAGGCCTTGTTCCTCTGAGCCAGCTTGTGTCGCCTCGCCTGTGGCTGTCCTTCTCTCTGCCAGGCAGCATTTACCCAGTGTCTTTGTGAGCTGGGAATGTTTAACGGGGGCCCAGAAGCGTTTGCATGTACTGTGGTTGTAATTAATGCTGATACCTTCTAAGTATTGTCACTGTGCGGAGCTCTATCCCTCGCGCTGAACTATAAACCCAGACGTTTTCCATTCACCTGTTTATAAAAAGTGTGAACAATCCAAAATACAACTTTATAAAAATACTGTCAGATGTGTTTTTGGTGTCCGTGGTGGTTCATGGTTACAGAACAGTGAGACTGTATACTTGATGTAAACAGTTCAGTTGTAGAAATAAGCTGTACTGCAGTCAAGTCTCCATGAACTGTGTGGTTCATGAGCCGTGGCTGGCAAAGACCTGGGGCATGGCAGAGGAGGGCGTGTGGTGGCAGCCGGCGTCTGCTGTCTCTGGGTACCTGGGAGACAGCCCCCTTTGCTTGCAGCCAGTACACACTGTCTCACTGAGTTGGAAAACCAGGACCTGGTCCAGGCACAGTGGCGCGGACAATAGGAAAAGGGGAATGGCTGTGCTAACAGGACTCAGACCAGGGCCCAGCCCACCCAAGTGGGCAAGGGGGCTCTGCAGCCTGCCCCCTTCCTCTGTCATGTGCAGACAAGATCTGGAATTAGGGAGTGGGGCCACAGGAGGGGACCCTGGATTTGGGAGCAGTGAAGACATTGTGGAAGACATTATAAGGCCATGTTCTTTGGCAGAGAGAAGGACAGTTATTTTCAGGAGGCAGCACGTGCCAACCGTGAATGGTGGTGAGCTGTTTTTGCCTTAATTAGATTTGCTTTAACTGATTTTTTAGTTTTCCCCCATAATATTAGTCTGTCATGTGTTTGACAAATGCTTGTTCCAGCCACTACGTAATAGTTGTTAAACAGATGTGGTTTGCTCTCGTGAATCCTACAGTTGAGTCAGGAGGGATAGATTTTAATCAAACAATCACATAAATAATTATCCGATTACAAGCTGTGGTGAATTCACTAAAGGGTAATCTGAAGGTGCCGTGAGGGCATTCAGCGTGGGGACCCAGCCAAGTCCCTCAGCCAGGTACAGGCTGGCCGAGGGCAGGCTTCCCTCAGGAGTGCTGCTTGCACGCAGACATGTGATTCCCCTGCCCTCCCCTTACCTGAGGGTTTGAACAGAGGGTGGGCAGGCCAGGGGCTCTCTGGTCATGCTGTATGGGCTGCAGCCTGGAAGCCAGCTGGCACACTTGGTAAGCGATTATTTCTAAATTTAGAAGAAATGTTGACGCTTCTGGGAAACAGGTGGTGACAAAAACAGGCCCAAAAACAGTGTTAGCAGGATTTTTGTATATCGTGTGGAAGTTTCTAAGGCTTTTAAAGAAGCTTTCCTAAGGGAATGCTCGGGAAGCTGGGGTAGAAAAGCCCGAGTCTTACCACGTCACTGTAGTGGTAAATCCTCGTAGAATCATCTCTGTGTTCTGTGAGGTGACACCATACTTCACAGCGAAAGCCACTTCCTCCTCATGCGCGCCTCCCGCCGTCAGTGGTGCGTGCAGCTGTCATCGGTGGGACTTGAAATCCTCTGCAGAGCCCTTTGCTCTCTGCTGCCAGACAAGTCATTCTCCCTCGTTGGTATGCTTGCACGGAGTCCTGCTTGTGTTTTAGGTTGTATGAGTGCTAGGTGGGGCCCTAGTGGCGCAGTGGTTAAGCACTCAGCTGTTAACCGGAATGTCATGTGTTTGGAACCTACCAGCCACTCCTGGGAAGAAAGATGTGGCAGTCTGCTTCCATGAAGATTACAGCCTTGGAAGCCCTAAGGGGCCGTTCTCCTCTGTCCTAGAGGGTCGCTAAGAGTTGGAATCGACTCGACAGCAGTGGATGTTGTAAGTGCTGGGTGCACTCAGGCTATGCGAGAAGTACCAGTTTGTGGATGTCACGGAGTTAGCAAGTGGGATAGAGGAGACTCCATGCCCGACAGCAACAGGACAATACAATGTCCAGGAATAAACCTCATGAGAAATTTGTGGAAACCGTGTAGAAAAACACAAAAATGAGAAACTGTAAGACTGCTGAAGAACCGAGAAGAAGGTTTTCAGAGATCAGTACACGTTTGATAGGAAGAGTCGATGTCGTTAAACTGTCCGTCATCTCTACGTTGTTCTGTAGATTCAGTGAGTCCCCAGTCAGAACATCAGTGGCTTTTATTTTTCTGGAATGATACTAAGCAAAATGATACTGAAATTCAGATAGGGAAAAAATACGCAAAAATAAGAAAACTTTCAAAAAGAGGATAATAGAGCTACCCCTGCCACGTATTAAATGCCTTTGACCTGGCACAGAAGTAGACGGATGGGTCAGTGGAAAGATTTGTGTGGGGGGCTGTGCGTGCGAGTGGGTGTGTGTGTGCGTGGGTGTATGTGCGCGTGGGTGTGTGCATGTGTAGTGTGGTAGCGTGCACAAGGGAGCGCATACAGAGATGGTGTAGTATGTGATTCAGTTAGCATTTCAAATAAAAGGAAATGATAACGTATTCAGTAAATGATGTTAAACGGCTTATTTTGGATAGATGACAGATTTAAACACAAAAATGATGTACCCCAGCCTCCCCACCCACCCCCACCCCACCGTGCACACACTGTATACATCTGCTACAACTCACCATCTGAGTTTGCATGGAGCTTGTGTGAAGTTTTCAATGAAAACTCTTGATAATTTTTCTGAAGGATTGAATTTTTTTAATGGAGAGCTTGAAAGAAGCTACAATTCAGTTAAATTATCTACATAAAGTAAAGGTTTATTTTGTAAAGGGGAATTCACGTACATATTGAAAGTAATCGCATGTCTAACGATCTTTATTTTGTTTTCAGTGTTTTTTTTTTAAATTAACTCTGATTACTTCGTCTTCCTACTTTTAGCTCTTTTCAGAACTCGTCATTGTCTCTGAGCGTGTTAAAAGCCGGGGTGGGAGAGAAGAGAAATGGAATGAAAAACAGTTGCTAAAACAGAACTTGGAGAACAAATAGACAGGAAAGCTCGCTTTGCTGATGCTGTTTGAGACCTATGACTGTAATTCGTATCCCAACATTTGTTATTTTCTTTTAAGGAAGAAGTAATGGTCCTGGAGAGAATCTTACTACAGACCATAAAGTTTGATTTACAGGTGGAACATCCATACCAATTTCTGCTCAAATATGCAAAACAACTCAAAGGTAAGGAAAAAAAAGATATTGTGAGAACTTTTCATTCTGAAATCAAGTCTTTATAATTTGATGGCACTCAGATTATGCTTCTCACAAGAGGAAAAGAGACTTTGGTGTGTGATATTCCAGCACAGCATAGCTGGCCCAGACGTACTCTCTGTGCCATTAATACTGCTTCCTTTTACACACAAACATTCTGTCATCCAGTGACCCAGTGATGGGAGGCAGGAAAATGAGTCAGGATTTTTAAATAGCCTAATAAAACGCGCCTGGGAGCCTGGTTTTCTATAAGCGATGGCTCAGCCTGGGTCACGAGGAGAGAAAGGACAGCAGTAGGGCGCACACCCTCGTCCTTGTGTCCTGGTCACCCACACTGAAGCCCTTTGCTGTGTAGGGGGGTGGGGGGAGGGGCAGCACCTGGTACGCTTTGAACAAGTACCTACTGCTTCGTATGAATTTTTTTTTTTTTTTTGGTATTGCTATTAATTTACCTTTTTTCCAATTTCTAGGTGATAAAAACAAAATTCAGAAGTTGGTTCAAATGGCATGGACATTTGTAAATGACAGGTACACTTGTTCAAATGATGATTTAATTGTACTATTTTAAAATAGGTGGGGACTTTAGGAATCATCCTATCGAAACCCCTATATTGTATCAGAGGAGACTGACCAGCCCCAGCTCGAAGGTCCAGTTAGCGGCCGAGCTTGGGCTGATGTCCGGGTTGTGTGCCTTGCACAGAGGGGTTCCCTCTGCTCTGACAGATCATGTGGTGTGAGGGGCTGAACTCATATCACCAGCTTGAAACATAAGTCCTGACAATACACTGGAGAATTTTGATAGCTGAATGCTTAGAACCCAGTGGTTCTGCAAAATAGACTTCCTCATGATGGTTTTAGAGCCCAGGGGTCAGGTGAGGGGCTGCGGTGGGGCCTAGAATACCGCTGGATGGAGCTGCGGTCCTCCCGCGCCCACGTGGTTCGAGCAGCCTGTCTTTGACCTGATTTACGTAACATATGACCTCCCGTAAGGTTTCATTTGACAAGAGTCCAGTCCCTAGGCTTTAGCGATTTGAAAAACATGCTATTTTCGTTTGTATTTCTCAACAACAGTTTGTGAATGTGCTAGAATTCTTGTGATTCCTTAAGGAACAGACAAATTAGTAACTGTGGTTATAGTAATTTACTTTGTTACCTTTTGAAAACCAAAGATTCGTTTTTAAGTTTTAATTCATACTGCTTTATCTGATCGTGTTGGAGAAGACAAAGTAATACACGTGTGGACGGAGTGCCCCGCCGCCTTGCGTCGGGTTAGTGTCTCATCCCGGCAGCTCAGTGGCCTCTTTCTTGTTTGGACAGCCTGTGCACCACCCTGTCACTGCAGTGGGAACCAGAGATCATAGCGGTGGCGGTGATGTATCTCGCAGGACGTTTGTGCAAGTTTGAGATCCAAGAGTGGACCTCCAAACCCATGTACAGGAGATGGTGGGAGCAGTTTGTTCAAGATGTCCCTGTCGACGTTTTGGAAGGTACTGGGCATGTGGGGCTTTGTGTGAGGGTGTTCCTTGTTTAGAGCGTTCTTCCTTGCCAGCCCTGAGTCCCTGGTGTGGATTTTCCCAAAAAGGAGCTGCAAACTATTTTTCATAAGCATTTTTACTTAATTTTCGGGTATAATTTCCACGGTGCCCAAGCACACAGTTTTGGTGGATTGAAAATACACATCAGTGGTGTGCACCCCAGAGACAGGGTGAGCTGCGGGTGTGGTCTTTGCTTGTTGGTCCTTGTGAGGGTGTCATGGCAGGAGGGAAGTGGTCTGGGTGTTTTCCTAGGTTCCCTCTTATTTAAAATGCCAGCCTGTGGGAACTGCCCTCATTGCCTGTCCTTCAGATATCTGCCACCAGATCCTGGACCTGTACTCACAAGGGAAACAGCAGATGCCCCATCACACCCCCCACCAGCTGCAGCAGCCCCCGTCTCTTCAGTCCACACCACAAGTGCCACAGGTGCAGCAGCCCCCGCCACCTCAAGGCTCCGAGCCGCCCCAGCCCCCACAGAAGGACTGCCCGCAGCCCGCCCAGCAGCAGCAGCAAGCACAGCAGCCGAAGAAACCATCTCCACAGCCGAGTCCTCCCAGACAGGTCAAACGAGCCGTGGTGAGTGGACCGGGGCCCCCGGGCCAGTGTGCTTCAGGTGCGACGCCATGCCGGTGTGCTGTTCTCACTTGAAAGGGCCCCCACCGGACACCCCACACATGTGGACCCCTAACCTGGTCCTCTGACGTCATGTCTGGGGAGGGGGGTCCAAAAACGAGTGTGCTCAGAGGAGAGAGGCCACAGGTCAGCCCTGACAAGCCTCTCCGACCTCATCTGTCGGTGCGGGTACGGTCTGGCTCTGCCAGGTGTGCCGGTTGTAGCAACAGTTCTCTCAGGAACCTGCTGTTGGTAAACGTTTCTAGTGGTAGCACCACAGACCTGCCGGTGGGGGACCCAGCTACTGTAGCACAGCCCCCCAAGGAAGCCGTGTGGAATACACACCCGTCAGCAGGCACTGCTGACCACATTTAGGAATGCATGCTAGAGGGCCTGGGAACAGCGTTGTTCAGAACTCATGGTGAGAACAGTCAGTGGTTCTGTCTCATTTGAAAAGGGAAAAAGGAGGGACACAGAATGATCCTCTGGGCCATGGTTCGCCTGCAGGTTCAGGCCCAAATAATGTTTATCTGTTGCTGTGATTCTCATAGCTCCTGGATAATCACTCTTTTCCTCACTATACCCAGGGTCTCAGTTAACAATCACTTATTTTCTTTTGTAACAGGTTGTTTCTCCCAAAGAAGAGAGCAAAGCACCAGGTAATTTCCTGTTGTGACGTTTGGTTTTTTGAGTTTTACGCGTCTGTGTATCAGAACTCTAAATTCAGTGGTTCTCTTGGTAAACATCCTTTCCTTAGAGTGGCCCTAAAATTTAAACCTGGATCCCGTCAGGCTGCGTAAAAGTGCCTTGTCTTCTATCCTTATCCCCCGAGTGTGTGCTTTCAATTGTACTGACGAGAGGTAACCGTTCAGAAGACATCAGGAACAGTGAGAAGGTGCTCGGTGACGTAATTGTCACGGCGGGAGAGCTAGTGCAGCAGCGTTTATTTGTAGGGCTCAGTGGACTATCACGGTAGGCCTGTGTTTGGGACCAAGGAAAGTGAGAGAAAACAGTCAGTGAAGTCAGCATGTTGTACAAGCAGGAGAGACGTCAGTTTCAGGAAGAAAGAGCCAAAACAGAAAAACAAAATAACAGAAAGATGGAATTCCTGTCCTTGGCCTCCTTAAACAGAAGATTGTGGACTTCTTGTAGCCTCTTGGTGACTTAGCACTGTCGTGGATGCTGGTTCCACGCAGCTGCTTGCCCCTGAAGGGCAGGGTGTGTACTTGGGACTGTGCCCTTCACCCTGAGTGGCCCGACTGCTCTGTGCTGAGGCTTCCAAGCCGTAGCGCCCTTCCTCATCAGCACATCTGCCTCCAGACCCCTGCTGCCGCCAGCTAATGCATTGCCTCTGACGCGCTGGCAGCTGGGATGATAGCTGTGGGAGACAAGATGATCCTAAAATGTGTCTCGGTGAGAGGAAACAGGCGGAGCCCCTCTTGTGAGGCCTCGGCATCGGTGACATTGCGTTGACCTCTGGGGGCCTGTCTGTGGGCTGTGTGCCCTAGTGAGGACACCAGCTAGATGGCGCTTGAAACCTGAGCTGTCACCCACTGTTCTCGCTCAGTGGGAGAGCCGGTCTCCAGTGACCGGCGAGGAACTCTGGGTAGACGTGGAAGCCCGTCTGGCTGTGAGAAGCCCGAGAGGTTTTCACGGCAGGGGTTTTGTTCAGACGGGACTCGCGCATAATGGCTTGGCTGCGCCTTCTGCATGTTTCGCTCAGGCCTTGTTGTATTTGTTCTTTTTCCCAAAAAAAAATTTGTGAACAGTCATTGTCTTTGTCTTTTTAACACGTTTATCCAGATGAAGAGGTATGAGTGGTGTTTTAATCCTCTCTCTCTTTTTAGAACCGCCACCATCTAAAATACCCAAACTGGAGACCACCACCCACCCACCACTGCCTCCGGCCCACCCACCTCCAGGTAAGTGTCTGCCGAGCAGAGCCCGCAGTGTGCCAGCCTGGCCCTGTGCGTCTGAAGGCAGACTGGGGACAGCCTGGGGCCGCACTTACAGAGGGGACTTGGCAGCCAAGATAGAGAAAGACATTGATGACTGAGGAGCTTTCAGAGGTGCCGTAATTTTACAAACCTGATGTTTGTGTGTGTGTTTTGAGTTCCAAGTATGTGTGAACCTCACTGCATGCTCACTTCCGGAGACACTGACCTGCCCGGGATGACTGAACGTAGAATCCGCATTAGGAAAGCAGAATCTTGCCCTTTGATGAGGCTTTTTCCAAATCCAAGCAGGATTGCTGTCAGACACCAGTCTCTCATCTGCTTCCTGTTGGCAGGATCTCTTCCCAGTACTGGCACCGATAAGCAGTTGTTCCCAGAGTCACGTGGAGAAATGATTAAAGAGCAGAGTGTTCTCTGCAGGTACACAGTGAACCTGGCAGCTTTGCCAGGATCACTGACAATGTAGACAGGAGTTGTGAAAAACGTAGCATTGTTCAGAAGATGAAGCATTAACAAGAGAAGGCAGGAGTTGTGTGTTTTCTAAGGGGTGGTAGCTATTCTAGAGACTTCTCTGGACTCCCTCAGTGTCAGCTCTGCCCGCCTGCTGCCCTCCCGGCTGGTCAGTGTGCATGGCTGATACCTCGGCTCGTGGCCCCGTGTGTGTCTGTGGCAGATTCTTTCTGCTTCTGTTCAGTCATGATGGTTTATAGCTTTAGAGGAACAGAGGCATCATTTTCCACCTTGGGCCAAATCCCACAACTCCCAATTAGGTGTGAGCCTTGCTTGACTGTTGGGCCACTGGTCACTCAGTATTTGTGGTGCGTCTGCTCTGTCTCCACCCCGAGGACTCGCCAGTGCCGGCAGGAGAGGCAGTAGGTGGGGCCCGCTGTGCGCTTGCTTGGGGGGTGCACAGGGAGGGAGCACCTGCCGAGAAGCAGGGAGGGTGTCCCTCGTGCTGTGGGGCGAGGCCTCCTCAGCGCAGCTCCCCTGGCCAAGTGATGGCTCCTGCTGACGGCCAAGCTGTGGAATCCAAGGCGGGTGGGTGGTGGGGCTGCAGGAGCTTCTGGGGAGGGTCCTCGGTAAATATGTCTAGATGTGTGTTGCAGAAGGGGAGGCTGAGAAAGGAGGACTGGGAGCAGGAGTCTGGGGTGTCCGCGGTGGTGAAGAAGCCGGGGAGGGACGTTCACGGCACCACACCGTGTGAGGGGTGGGGTCGGGGGAATTCATGCAGTCAGATGTGGGGCGTGAGTGTGAAGAGAGTGCGTGGAGGCACTGACAGGAGGTCACTTTCGGCTCATGCCCAAGGTGTGAGCAAAGGAAAAGGCTTGGAACACCGGAGCCTGGAGAGGTGGCCAGCAGAGTTGCGTCCCGAGGGAGCTGGTTTCTGAAAGATGGATGTGGGTGTTACTAGGCCAGGAGGCAGCGGAGTGACAGGAGGGAAGTGAAGGCGGCTGGCGCTCTCCTGCCCAGACCTGGAGCTCAGTGCTATGTGTGCCTGTAGTCAGCTTCTAGGAAGGGTGCTCGCCCTGACCGGAAACTAGTGGGCTGTCTGCAGCGCGCGTGACCTCTGCACTTGAAGACGCAGCTGCTGACCAGAACAGGCAGGCTCCGGGGGCAGGCCCGCCGCTGGAGGGGCCGTCCTTGGGGCCTGGGGTTCTGCACGCCCCGCCTCTGGCAGGAACGGCAGGTGCTGAGCTCTGCTCAGTGGAGCAGCGGGGGTCCACACATGGGTTTGGGGCCCTGGCCTGCCACCTCCGTGTGACTGCAGTCAGGAGAGGTGCCGGCCCTGTCTAACAAGAGCTGGCAGTCTCGAGACCTCGGGGCCTGGAACCCTCCGCCGTGATCTCCGCTCCTGTCCTTGTCTGCAAAGGCCAGAAACGTTGCTGTCACCGCTCTGTGCTGCCTCGGGAAAGGACACCCATTCTAAGCAGGGGCCACCCCTGGTGGGATGTTGGATGTTGTTTTGGGGTCTGGCCATGAGCAAGGAGTGGGGAGCCCAAACTGACTGTTAGACAAGGCTTTGGGAAAAGGGGGTCAGGGGCCCAGGGGGCTGTGGACCTCCGCCCCGGAGGGGGAGGGGCAGCGGCCCTGGCCTGGCTCCGAGCACAGGAGTGTCTGAGAATGCTCGATACCAGGTGCTGTCTCCCCACATGCACATGCGCACACACTCCTCCTTTGAGAAAACTGCTACCTGAGAGGAAGCTGTGGGGTTTGAGCTCACTCACTTCTCTTCAGTAAACAGAACCCGAATTGGATGTCTAAGCCTGTGCGTTGTATTCTCAGATGCCCCTTCATTCCTGTGACTGACACAGGCCTTCTGCTTAGGGTTGGGGCTGTAGCAGTCACATGCCATGGCCCTCAGGCACCCAGGCCGTGGGGCGGAGACACACGGACGGACGGACGGACGGATGGACGGAAGGGGCACTCGCAGCCTCTGTGCTGGGGAGGTGGCAGTAGGGCTGGGCCGGTGGCGGCTGTGGTTGGGGAGGGTGAAGGGCCCGTGTGACAGGCCAGGGATGAGCTGTGGCTCGGGCCCTTTGCTTGCACTGAGGCCTGGTGCCGCCTGTCCACCAAGGTGACAGCTGCTCGCCGTGCCTCTGGGAAGATGGCCCAGGGGAGCAGCCATGGGGAGGCCATGAGAGCCGCTGTGCCAGAGCTGCTGGCCTTGGCCCCCGGGGTTGGGGGACAGCCCTTGCCCAGGGCGGCTCTGACCGCGGAGTGACTCTTCTCTCCCGCAGACCGGAAGCCTCCCCTCGCCGCGGCCTTGGGTGAGGCCGAACCACCGGGCCCTGTGGACGCCGGTGACCTCCCCAAAGTCCAGATCCCCCCGCCGGCCCACCCGGCGCCCGTGCACCAGCCGCCCCCGCTGCCACACCGACCCCCGCCGCCGCCCCCCTCCAGCTACATCACGGGCATGTCCACCACCAGCTCCTACATGTCTGGTGAGGGCTACCAGAGCCTGCAGTCCATGATGAAGACCGAGGGCCCCGCCTACGGCGCCCTGCCGCCCGCCTACGGCCCGCCTGCCCACCTGCCCTACCACCCCCATGTGTACCCCCCCAACCCGCCCCC